CAGAAAGGCACCAAGCCCAGTGATTCTGGGGCTGGGAAGGGTGGGGGGGCCACCTCCTCAAACCCAAGCCGTAGATAACACCAGGGGCAAACGGGATTCCCGAATCTGCCTGGTAGATGGGTTTTCTTGGGTCTACTTCTTGGCAAACGCATCTAATTCGTTGCCAACAAATACAAATGGGAGTTGTCGTTGAGTAGATGTGCAACTTCTCTTCAAAATCAGAGCCGTCTGGTAACATTACAGTCAAACCCCGGGTGGGTCCCTCATGAGAATGTGGCTGCTGCTTCGCCCTAGTCCCCACCGCTCCCTATCGTAACTGTTTTGTGGCAGGTTCCTCGCCACCTGCCGCCTTCCTGTCAGGGCTCGTGGGCCTTTGTCGTGTATTAAGAGGAAAGTAAATATTCCTTGGGGTTCCCCAGGAACCACGCTCTGGCCTCATTGTGTTTGTGTCACCTGGCCAGGGGCTATAGACTTTCAAAGTGCAGAAAAGAGGAAGTGAGGAGCTGTTGTGGCTGGATCCTGACAGGGCATTCTGGGGTGCAGCCCCCCCACCCTCCTGCTGCTACCAGACACAGGTCCTGCCTCCCCACAGCCTTTAGAGTTCTGAGTTCATTGCTCTCCTACCAGCCTTGGGGCTGTAGGCGGATTCCCTCAAGTGTCTGAGCCTCAATTTCCTCCTCTGCAGAGTGGGGATATCTGCCAGGTGGCTGCAAGGAACACTGCAAAGCACTTGGAATATAGTAGTTGGCAGCCGTTGAAGTTTTAATTTGGAGCCTCAAACAATTGGAGTTGGTTGTAACTTTGGAAATCTAAGGTCTTGCTCCTCAGAGCAGCTGATTCAGCCCCCACCCCAGGGAAGTGGGGAACAGGGCAGAATGGTGGCCCCACGCGGACCGGCGAGGGGAGCCTGTGTCTTGATGGCCCCCAGGGATTCCTGCGCAAGGTCAGGATGGGAAGGCCCGCATTAGCATCCAGCACCGGGAAGAGGGGTACTCCCGCATCACTGAGCCACCTGGTGGCTAAGAGCCTGGGCTCTCAGACAGATGTGTAGACAGATGTGGCTTTGGGTTACGGTTCCATCCCAGAGGAAGAGGGGCTTTGAGCAAGTCACTCTCAGACCCTCTGTCTCCATGTGGTCTGGGGACGGCACAGGCCCCTCCGTGGCAGAAGCAGGGTGGGGCTCAGCAGGTGCTGGTGGGGGCGACGTCTCAGGCACATGGGCGTGTTCACACAAGATGGCCTCACATCTTGGAAGGCGGAGGGGAACCAGGGATAGTACATGCTCAAAACCAAACCAGATTTCCTCCAATCCAGGAAGAAATAATTGTCAGGATAATAATAAACAAACCCACAGCTTCCCCTGAGCTGTTCGAGAGAGCAGGGACGGGCTGCTGTGCTGTGGCCTCGGCTTTCTGTGTGTGTGTGTGTGTGGGGGGGGGGGTGATCTCCATTGGCAGCTGTGGTGACTGGCACGTGTCCTCAGGACTGATAGACACTACTTACTGGCTCACTCTACTGTTTAAAACCCCCGGAGTGTGTAAGCACGAGACTGGGCCTCCAGGGCTGCAGAAGAGTCGCGTGAAAAGCCTTTCATTGCAGGTGCGCGGAAACTGCTGGGTCCGCAGGGAGACCTCTGCGCACGGGCTGCCGGAGCTGGGTCCCAGGCTGGGGTGGACAGGCTCTGGTCAGGCGGCAGACCGAGGGAGCAGCCCCGGGCTCCTCCGGGTGCCGGGCCCCAGGCAGGCCGCGCGTCCCCCGGCAGATGCGAGGGGGCTCTGCCATGGGGATGAGGTCCCGCTCCCGCTGAATGTGCGCGTCAGCAGAATTCTTTTCGCCTTTTATTGCCTTCGAGACATATGCTGACTTGGTCAAAATTGCCTCGGCAAGATGTGACTGATGATGTATGAAATGAGAACTCCTTAGCCAGGCCTGCGAGGCCAGGAGCGAGGGGTGCGGACGCTGGGCTGGCCAGACACAATAACACCCCTCACATCTCCAGGCTGTCTCTCTTCCAGGGAAGCAGGCCCAGGTGTGGGGCGTAGGGGCAGATCGGGTTACGCCCTGCAAGTCAGCGCTGGGTGCTGGGCCTGGGGAGCTGGGGGTGTGTGGGTGGGGAGCTGGCTGCTGGGGACATGAGGTCATCCCGGGAGGTTCCCGGGTCCTGGATGGCATGTGTTGGGGGGAGCTGGGGGACAATGAGAGGACGGAAGGCCAGGTGCACAATGGCAGGTGACAAAATTGGGGTGTTTGAAGGCTTTCCCTAAACAATCTTGAAACTTTTGCTGGCAGCCTCAGCTCTCAGACCAGCACCTGCTGTGCTGTCAGCTGGATGGTTCTTGGCTGTATGTTGGCATTCACTCACTCACTCACTCACTCACTCACTCACTCACTCAGAGCCTGGTGCCTTACTGGGGACTCCTTTGGGGACAGGAACAGGGAGAATAGGAGCCTGCTCTTCTCTCGACATGGGTCTTGGGAAAGAAGGTTAAATGGGGGACTGTGGCGAGAGAAACTTCTCTCTCCCTGGTCTGGGATGTAGCTTCACCTGGCAGGAGAAAAGATGTCCCAGGGAAAGTGTGGGAGGGAGGGGCGGGAGGGGTGGGGGCACCTCTGCTTGGCGCCTGCGCACTCAGCCCCTCAGGTCCACGCTCTGGAGTCCTGGCTGCTGGCTGAGCACCCCGGCCCCCTCCCATGTACCAGGCTCTGGTGGGAGGCACAGAGGGTTCCCCTAGTGAAAGGGCAGTGAGCTGAGCCATGGGAGCTGGGAAGGGGTTGCTTAGGGCTCCCCAGGGAAACCCTGTACAAGCACAGTCTCCCCTCCCACCCCCCCAACCTTATTTAAGTTTCCTGCTGGGTCTCCCTGGCCAGGAAGCCAGCGTCCTGCCGAGGCTGCCGCGTGGACGCATCACCGCGCTGTCCTCCAGCCCAGCCTGTACTTGGCCACTCGATTTGCCGGGCTCAGTGCAAAATGAAAGTGGGGGCCCCTGCTCACAGATCATGAAGGGCTGCAGTACAGCGGAGCTGGGCCTTCCTGAGCACGGGACCCTGGGCTCCTGTGACGCCCACCCTGCTGGACACCCAGGGAGCGCTCGGCATACCTTTCTTGAAGGAGGGAGTTGGTAGTGAAGGGGCTTGTGGAGCTTTGACCAACGGTGGGCGGCCCGCGCCCAGGTTCTGTTCCAGGGCAGCCTGAGCCTGTCCCGAAGCCAGCTGCTGTGACGGCTCTTTGTCATTCTCTCTCTCCTGCCTGGCTCCAGCCCCTCCGGCCTCCACCCATGTGACCCCTGAACCTGCCATCTTGTCCCAAAGCCCTCCCAGGGCCACATGGCAGGACCAGCTCTGCTCCAGAAAACTCTAGAAGACCAGGCTCCTCTTGATCAGCCCTTGGAGCTTTCTCCTACCCCCAACTGAGGCTTAGCCAGCCCCCCCAGAAAGGGAACCCCAAACCCAGTCCCCAAACTCAGTCCTGCACTCTTCTTCCCAAACTTCCCGGGGGGCCACGCCGCTAGCCCAGTGCAGGAGCCCTGGTGACAGGCTGTGTCCTTGGGGCGGGCCTGCGGGAGGAGACGAGGCTGGACTTGACCCGCAGCGAGCGCCCGGCCAGCCAAGGGGGAGTGTTCCTTTGCTCCCATTTTCACAGGTGGAGAAACCAAGGCTCTGAAGAGCAGCAGTTCACCGAAGGCCCCACAACAGGTTCTGAGTTGTGTGTGCGTGTGCCCAGGACCAGCTGAGGTCCTGGCACGAGGCTCGGGGTTGTTGTGGGGTGAAGGAGGCGCAGAGGGAGGCAGATGCCCAGAACCTCCGCCCGCTGGCCAAGGTCTCGGGCACAGACCCTGTGGGTGACCTGGTCTCTGTCCTCGGGCACTGCCTGGTGGGAGGGTGTGGGTAGCAGAGGGGCAGGGCTTCTGGTGTCTGGGTAAGGAGTGGTTGCAAATAAATGGGGGTTCAGCGAAGGAAGAAGTGGGAGGGTTTGGAGCTCCCTGGCGCCCAGGGCTTCTGTTTCACTGGGGAACAGGACAATAAAGAAGACACGAACAACTCCACAGAAACCCCGGACTGTGAACGAGTTAAAGCAATTTTAACACGTGTGAGTGGTCGAGGGTGGGACAGACTGAGCTGCTGGGGCGCCCGGGAGGACGTGGCCCCTGAGTGGAGGGCGTCCCGCCTGGGGTTTGGGGAGGAGGGTGTCAAGAGAGGGAGGAAAGGCGGAGTAGAGAGCAGCAAGTGCAAAGACCCGCTCCGGGCTGCGCCAGGTCCTCTGGGCTGGGGTGAAGGTGGGCAGAGCAGGGGCCCGGCGGGGCTGGGGTCCCCTCCTGGCAGAAGCCGCCTCTGGCTCCGCGCCCGCGCGCCCCCCAGCCTCCTGCACCGCCGCGGGGCTCGGAAGGTGCGGCGGGGCCGGCCGGGGCTGGGGGTCCTCCTGCGCATCCCGCGGAGCGGCCGGCGTGGACACCCGCGGACACTGCGTCAATATTTGCCGAGCGAGCTCGGGGCAGGAATGAATGAACCCATTGGGCGCCGCGCGGGAGGGCGGGGCGCGGGCAGGTGGGAGGCCGCGGGCGCGGGAGGGCCCTGCAAGCCCGTCCTCCTCCCGCTCCTCCCGCTCCTCCCTCCTCCCAGGCCCAGCGCTCGCCGCCCTGGGGCTCCGAGGCGGCCTCCGCGGCGATCAGGGGCGCTCCGGCCGGGACAGCGCGGCGGCCCCGGCGTCCGGCGATCCGCAGCGGGTGGGTGCGCGCCGCCCGCCGCCCGAGCGCCCGCGGCCCGCGGGAGGGAGCGCGCCGCCCGCCTGGCCCCGCGCGGCCCCCGCTCCGCCGGCCCCGGGTCTGCTGGCTGCTCCTCCCACCCGCGCCCGCCTCCTCGCTCGCTCGTTCGCCGGCCGGAGCGGGCTTCCGAACCCCTCGGTGCGCCCGGGCGTGCGCTGGGCCCGCGGGCAGTGCCGGCTCGGGGCGGGGGTCCGGGCAGAGCGCGGCCGGCCGGGGAGGGGCCATGTCCGGCGCGGGCGCGGCGGGGCCGGTCTGCAGCAAGTGACCGCGCGGCGGGGACGGCTGCCGGCCCCCTCTGCCCCCTGGGGCGGCGCGGGTCCCGGGCCCCGGGTGCCGGACCCCGGGTGGCGCGTAGAGCCGGTGGTAGAGCCGGCGCGATGCACGTGCGCTCGCTGCGCGCTCCGGCGCCCCGCAGCTTCGTGGCGCTCTGGGCGCCCCTGTTCCTGCTGCGCTCCGCCCTGGCCGACTTCAGCCTGGACAACGAGGTGCACTCGAGCTTCATCCACCGGCGCCTCCGCAGCCAGGAGCGGCGGGAGATGCAGCGCGAGATCCTCTCCATCTTGGGCTTGCCCCACCGCCCGCGCCCCCACCTCCAGGGCAAGCACAACTCGGCGCCCATGTTCATGCTGGACCTGTACAATGCCATGGCGGTGGAGGAGGGCGGCGGGCCCGACGGCCCGGGCTTCTCCTACCCCTACAAGGCCGTCTTCAGTACCCAGGGCCCCCCTCTGGCCAGCCTGCAGGATAGCCACTTCCTCACCGACGCCGACATGGTCATGAGCTTCGTCAACCTCGGTGAGTGAGCGTGGGAGGGAGGGGGCGCGCCTCGGGCTGGGGGTGCTCTGGGACCCCAGGGGCCGGTCCTCGCATCCAGTCCGCTCATCTTCCCGCCCCCGACCTTTGGCAAAGCCGCAGCGCCCGGCCGCGTCGCCCACCTCTGGCCCCAGGGGACCCCAAGCCGTGCGCGCTGGAGCCGGACTCCCCTGGCCTGTGGGAATACGGGGGGAGGAAGGACCGGTCCAAACCCCGCTCCGGGGAGAGTCGGCGGCCGCGCCTCTGGGGCTGGAGGCGCCGGGCCAGCCGCGGCACAGTTCAAAGCGCGGGGCGCAGTCATGTGAGCGGCCCGGGGCCGGCGCGGCCCGCGCTACCTGGATTTAAAGGGCCCCGCTCGGCGAGGCCGCCTTCCCGCCCTTTCCGGACCCCTCTCGGCCCTGCCTGGACTTGGCACCGCGGGCGTCGCGCCCCCTGCCCCTCCCTGGCGAGCCCTACCTGCCCCCGCGCGCGGCGCCCTCCGGAGCGCACGGCGCACCACCCGGAGCGCGGGGCCCCTCGCCCGGCCGCCAGGCGCCCCTCGCGCTCGGCTGTCCCAACCCGAGCTGGGAGAGAGACGCTGCCATTGCGAGCTTTCTATTTTAAATATTTAATGATAGGTCCCGGGAGGGCAGAATCCATTTTCAGCGTTTATCACGTGTGGAGCGCAAACCACGGCTTTGGGGGATTGGGCGGCGCGGGATCTCTGGGCCGGCGCCGCCGGGGGCGTCGGGGGGACCCGGCTCCCCAGCGAGGCCGACTTGGCCCCGAGGCTGGAGGCTGGGGCCGCGGCCGGGTCGCCTCGGTGCAGGCGGAGTCCCCAGACTTGCTCAAACTCACCCCCGGCCGCGCGCTGCAGGGCTGATGATCAAATATTTGGCTTCCGAGATAACACGGCCGGATAGCGCTGTTTCCCGAGCCCTTTCCTGCTGCATGTGTAACTTGCTGCGAAAAGCCCGAGGCGGTCAAGACAGCAAGCTCACGCCCACGGTGCTGGGTCAACATGGAAATAATGATACGGAGCCCCCCGCCGGGCACCTGGGGCGCGCAGGGGAGGCGCGCGGGAAGCCGGGCGGCCCCAAGGCTTCCCGCTCCAGATAAGGTCCCTGGGAGTCCCCGGACGCCATTGTCTGTCCTCAGCCATCGCCAAAATCAAACAGTGAAACGAGTTTCGGCGAGCAAGGGGTGGGGAGTTGAGATGCCAAAATAACTTCAAGAAAGTTTGAATTATGCTAAGCAGCCTGTTAGAAGGACGCGAGCCCATCTGTCCTGATTTAGAACAATTTCCAAGATGTATGAGGTGGAAAAACAAGGTGTAGTTCAGCGGGGTTACAGATGTGCTTGTACTTCACCGTTCCCGCAGGGGGTGACCCCGGAGCTGGCGGCCGGTGGGTCTTGCTGGCCGGCGGGGCTGGGCTGGGGCTGGGGCTTGGGGAGGGGGAACTGGGCCTGATTCCGCCTGGTCTGCCCTTTTGTCTGGGTGACTTTTGTTGTTGTTGTTTGTTTTTACAATGTGTATTTATGACAGGTACCAAAATCCACAGAAAAATTCCAAATACATACATATAAATAAAGCAGACGTCTGCAGCCCTCCCGGAGAATCCTGGGCTTACCCAGAGTTCTTTTTCTGTCTGGGGGTTTATGGCAGCTTCCATTCTGCTGGGTACCCATGACTCCAGAAATGCAGCAGGTCCCAGGGATGGCCTTCAGAGCCTGGCTGGGGTCATTAAAAGGCATTTGCAGGCCCTGGCTTCTGTGGAAGGCTCCACAAGCCCAGTGCAAACAGCAGCTTGCTGCCGAGGGCCAGCAGCACAGCCAGCCCCCCACCCCAGAGAGCAGGACCCAGTCGGAGAGTGGGAGCCTCTGGGAAGGTTGGGGGCAGGGCTCTTTGCCCCCCCCCCTTGGTGAGAGCAGGCTAGGACTTGTGTGGGTCAGCCACAGCTGGGTGGTTTTGCTCCTCAGGCTCTGCGCACACCTTTCAACCCCGTTAGCCCATTGCTTTCATCTTGAAAGGACAAAGACCGGCTTGTCTGAGCCTCTTTATCGGTGGGGCTGGCTTTGGGCTTTGTGGGGCCGCCCTGACTCTCTCAGGTCTTGCTTTCTGGGACATCACTCCAAATTGGATGGTGGAATGACTTTTAACAAAGTTCACTGACCTTGTTTTCTTTCTCTGTCCCTAAAAGTCGAGGTAATTACTTGGTGAAGACCTGCACTCCAGTTTGGGAAAGACTCTTCCTGCAGATGCTACAAGGCAGGCCTTTCATTTCTGTTCAGCAGCCACACAGGAGGATCCCTCCGCCTGTCCCCTCTGTTCTGTCGTGGCTCCAGAATTTCTCCCTTGGAGGGGCACATGGAGGACATTTGTCTGGAAGCTGAGTTTCTGAGAAAGCAGGTTTTTTCCTTGGGTTGCTGATCATATTGATCTGTGATACACAAAGTTTTCTAAAGGTGCGTTTAGCCTCACTCTTAACCTAAGAGCAAGGCGATGTCGTTTGTCTCAAGCTATTCCTTGTTATCACGTGGGCGCCTGGGGTGGGGGGGTGGTTGGGGAGGCCATTGATGGAGACCTTGAAGGGAGACTGACTTTCCCCAGTGCCCCCTCCTCCCTCCACCCGCCTCCTCCCGCCTCTGCATACCTCGGCTGTCCTGCAGTGCTTGGGGGCCCTCTGCCTGAATTCTGAAGGCTTTTGCAGACCTGGTGCTTTTATCCTTCCTCCTGTCTGCAGCCAAACTGTTTTTTGTTCCTATAAGTCGTTTTTGGAATTCAAGCTTTTTGCCAGGCTAAGCGGGATCTCACATAGAGAGAGAACTAGCGGAGAATTTACGACAAAACCAGGTCCTGGGAATGAGGACTGCAGACTGCACCTTGTGAGCGCGGCGAGGCTGTGCGGCGCGGCGTGTGTCAGGCTGGCTCGGCTGCGGGCCTGGCCTTCCATCTTCCCGGCCGAGGCCCCTTAATTTCAATGGCGAGATTTGTAAACTGGTTTGGCTTAGCAAGCCCCTGACTCCTCTGTGTGTAGACTTAATTTCGGAATTCAAAACAGGCTACCCTCTCTTCAGTGGTCCCCAGGCAACGTGGATTCTGCAGGCCGAATCCGGAGCGAGCCCCCTGCCACTCTTTGGAGAAATCCAGCAGCTCCGTCGGGAATGGTCTAAAGAAGCCACTTGGCATTAGGGCTGTGCGATCCGTGTTTCTCTCTGGCCCCGGTTGTCACGGAGCCCAATTTGTTTAATCTTCAAAACGAAATTTGGAAAAAGAGAGCGAGCTGGACCCCTATCACTACTCGCCTGGGTGAATAGAAGTGGCTTTTGTTAATGCAGCTGAAGCACAGGGAGGAGGCGCGCAGTTCTGCTGCTTTCTACCATCTGGCTATTCTTTTTGTTGACAAGTGTTTGGCATTAAGTTCTCTCCTTTGCCCCTTCAGAACAGGCCCTACCACTGTAGAGTATTAGAAAAAGATTCTGTTACAGTTTAAAAATTTCCTTCAGGGAGTGCTTCGAAGGGAGCAGGGGCAGGCATTTGCAGCTGGAACCTGGCTTGTGTTAAAATTTGGAAGGGGCTGTTCCACATTCCAGCGCGCGCGCCGGCCCTCGCTGGTGAGCAGCCAGAGGTTAATATAGATGTCACAGAGGCTTCCCTTCCCTCTCCCTGCCGAGCAGCGCCCTCGCTCTAGGAGTGCACCCACAGCTGTGTTTTCAGTAACCCTTTCAAAATCACTTCTTTTAAAATGCTTTTTCCTGCTTAGATAAATCAAAGATCTCCCCCCTTCCCAAGGATCTATGTGACCCCGATTTGAACTTTTTGGATCCTCCATGTATTTGCCTGCTGGAATCAAGGCAGGTTAAGGCCGGGCCCTGCATGCCAGCGAGGCGGGTTTGGTGCTTGACCCGGGTGGCCGTCTAGCGGCCGAGTGGCCGGTGCACTGGAGGAGGGAGGGAGGCGGCCCAGAGGGAAACCCGGCTCAGGGCAACTCGGGGGCCAGTCTGTGACTGCTCGGGGAGAAGGAACCGCTCCTGAGGTGCAGGTTCTGCTGGGAGGTTCCGCTGGCGTGCACAGCTGGTGGGTGAGCCCTGGCCACCGGCGTGCCTGTGATGTGAGCAAATATCACATGTCTGTGGACTGGGAGACAAGTGATGACTTCATCCCAAGGAGAGCCCCATCTAAGCTGATGGATCACCCCTATCGCGTTCATATCTCCCCCCCACCGGGTAAGGTCATATTTGGCCCATTGCAGGACTCACAACTCCCCGTCCGTCCCCACCCTTCCCCGGCCTGCCCGTCCACTTAACCGGTGGAGCATTTGGCATGGACAGCCCTGCAGCAGATGGCTGACCGGCCATGTGGACGTTCTCCGATCACCCCTCAGACCTCGCTTTGGGGGGCAGGCCACCGCTGCGCTTCGCCTGGGAGTGCCCTGGCGGCGGCCTCGGGTTAGGGCACGGCCAGGGATGTGTGGGACCTGTCATGTTATTGTCAGGAGGAATGCGAGGATTAGCCTGTGCAACGCGGCGGTGGGAGAGACTGCAGCTGTGTACACTTATTATAGAAGATTTAAGTCCCACTGGTAAAATCAATATATTGAATTGCACGACCCTCTGCTTTTAATTAGTTTAAATCAAATGCGCTGGGGCCGTTTTGCCTCCTCTCGCCTTCATGGGGTGAAGAAATCCCAATATTTACATAGACGCTGCTAATGTGTAGGGAAAATGATAACACATTTGGCTTTACACGCCCACGTCGCTCCGACCCCGTGGATCCCAGAGCGATGCGGAGCTGAGGACGACGGCTCGGGACCCTGGTTGCTCAGACCCTGCATGTGGCCGCAGGTGCGTGTCTGGGGGCCAGTGCCGGGGAGGCTGGTCCCCGAGAAACCGGTGGGGTCTTTCACTGCCAGTCAGAAATGCTGAGATTCCTCCCCCCAACACACACACGTTTTCTCTTAAGCATTGTTAGAGAATTGTTGGGGGCTCTTGCCTTTTGGCTG